TCCGATTTTGAGCCACTAACAGCTGGCCACTTTCTTATTGGCCGTCCACTCACCGCTCTTCCTGAGCCATCTTTTGATGATAGGCCATTATCAGCTCTTAAGCGTTTTCAGCTCATCCAAGCTCTCTCTCAGCGTTTTTGGACTCTGTGGACCAAATCCTATCTCCATACCCTCCAAACCCGCTCCAAATGGCTTTCCACATCCTCACCTCCTCAAGTTGGAGAGCTCGTCCTCATCAAAGAGGACAATCAGCCCCCGCTGCAATGGAAACTTGGAAGGATTATCCGCACGTTACCCGGCAAGGATGGAGTGATCAGAGTCGTGGATTTGGACACGAAGCATGGAAGTCTGCGGAGACCTGTGTTCAAGTTAGCCAGGTTGCCGCTGGATTCAGCACATGAAGAAGTTCAGCCCCGGCCGCCCCAGGATGTTCGCGCGACAGCGCGACGTTCGTAAATGTTCGGCTCAACTCGGGTGCCGTCGCCCGTACGCACCCCGCACCTCTCATAACAGTGCGGTACATGACGGCACGCGGAGATACGCTCGTTCGATATTGAGTAAATTGTGCGCGCGCGCCTTTCGATACTAAGTAAAAGGTATAGTGTGAACCGGTGAAAAGGTGTATGTGCCACCCATCGCAGAGGAACACCACTACGACCGTGATAGTGCCAGCATCAGCCTCCAAGTAAGTCCCGTTTTCCTACCTACCCTTTCGTGTCCGCTCATTCTCCGCAGAGTTCATATGCCCCCTTTCAGCTCATCAGCTCACGTTTAAGGTGACGCTCACCTGCGTCACCATATAGTAAGAAACAAATAATATAAAAAAATATAACTACTTAAAATTCAAGCTTCGGCTACTTGCCTATTTCTGCCGTCAAGCAGTAATGCGTTTCGGTTTGAAGGCTGGCGCATTTACGTTGTAGACGTCTATGGGCTCCAGCAACCACTTAACACCAGGTGGGCTGTGAACTCGTCCACAAATCTAAGCATTAAAAAAATATAAAAAATTAAACTTGCTTAAAGCGTTCATAATTTAATGATCGTATTTCGAATAATCGATGTTGCGTCAAGTAATCGATTCATTGTTTATACATTTTTCTTATTTTGATTCCTTAATAACACTGAAAAAAGGCTAACTCATAATAAAATAGATAACGATTAAAATTCGTCAGTAGCTATTAAACAAAACCCAAGAAAAGAAGTTGATGAACACAGTAGGAAATGGAATTTATCAATTTTTATAAGTATATTTATATCTGTACAGGCTTAAGAAAGCACTTACATAATTACTATAAATTGTTTTAGATGAACTTTAGATGAATTACCAATTTTAATTTAAAAATATTGGTATACACACCTATGACGCAAATACTTTTTTTGCCTTCCTTTCCGCCAGTATCTTTGACCGGTGGCTATTTTAGCTTCACCATGGCTGGTGAGAGAGCTTACGGCATTCAGCCAAAATTTGCTAACATCTCTCCCCAGCAAATACACCGCTTCACCTAATCTACCACCGGTGTGCTTAGTGCGAGTTTCTTAATGTTCTCGATAGCGTAAAAGTTCAGTCAATTTTGTATGCAGTTGGAACAGCGCACCTAGCGACAAACGTACGCAAACGATACCATTCCATACAAATATGTGCTAACTTTTACGCTATCGAAAACGTTAAAAAACTCGCACTGAGCACACAGGTCGGTCTCGCGATCCACTGAGAAGAAGTGAATACAACACGCGCGCTTTAGGCCTATAAGCCACAAGGAAAGGGAATCGACTAGCCAGTCAAACGTAGGTTCAAAATGGAAGCGATATAAAATTTAAAACGGCCAACCAAAGATTTTCTTTTAGAATTCACTGCTAGCACTGGGACACGCAGCTTAGACAGGGCGCTCGGTAATTGCTAATAACGACGTGTAGGAACAGACAAGTGCAAAGTTCTGCAAAGTGTAATAGAACTAGCTGTAAGAGACTGTTTTAGCTTTAATTTGTATACATCTTTCTTTGCTGCTTTAAATGATTCGACGAGAGCTCACTGTGTTAGTGTTGCGTAATTTTCAGAGCCCATTGTCTTAGAAAGGCGAATATCCTCACCACTTGTGATGACTTTCCCAATTATTAAATGAAAGAAAAAAACTCGAGTGCCTCAATAATACTAAGTAAAAAGGCGAAATAAGCTCTGCAATATCTAATAAATATACTATTATATAATACAAGCTGGCCCGGCAAACGTTATTTTGCCATATAAATTATTTCTAGGAAAGATAAATAACCTAGATACCGACTGCAGCGCCCTCTGCCGGGCTGATATGTAAATCTAAACCATCCTTGAATCCACTTGAAAGTACACAGAAAATTTCATCCATACCGGTCCAGCCGTTTAGGAGGAGTTCAGTGACAAACACACGCACAGAAGAAATATATATAAAGGTAGAACTAGTAATATATTTGTGATACCTTGACATACGAGTTTAATTGGTTCCGTATGTCAAAGTGTTCGTATCCCAAAGCAATTTTCCCCATTGAAATTAATTGAAATACCATTAATCCGTTCCTGCTCCCAAAAAACCACCTCAGTCCTTTTTGTTAAGTGTTTTTGAATAAGAAAAATGTATTTACAAGAAGAAACATTTATTAAAGATAATAAATACATATTCTAAAAAAACATAATAATCATCAATCAGCTATCATCTTCTTCTTCGGATTCATAGCTATAAAAATTAATGTCTTGTAAATATACAAAAAGCAAAAAACGCGAATTCAACTTATCGAAAATGCTTCGAAAACGAAAAAGACAGACCGAGGTCTAATCTGAGGTGGGAAAATATGTTAGACTCTTAGGTGTAGTGTGCAATTCCTCGTATCTCAAATCTTGCTCTCATCTCAAAGCAAAATATCGCTCGCTCTGCGGCTCGTATATCAAAACTGTCTCTTCAGAGTTCTTTAGGCAGTGTCAGGTTAACATCACGGGAAGACTAGCAAAACCAATTGTCGCGGTATTATGATCAGAAGCCCCAAAATTTCTATAGCAATGGGATCATGTCTCTACCTACAAGATGGCAAAAAGTTATCGAACAAAATGGTACCTACATACTTTAGTTCAATGTAAATAAACTATATTAAAAAATGTTGTGAATTTTCTTATTATAAAAAATGCAAAGAAACTTTTTCCCCAACCTATTATTAGGGCACCCGTATACTGAGGTACCACTGTATATTTTATATAACTGGAATGTTAGTAAGGGTTTTGGAGATGGATACGTTTAAGCAATTACACTGGGTAAACATTTGTTTTATTTCTTAGCTTAGGAAAAAGCCCGCTGTGTTTTTACTGGAGCCGGTTTTTTGTTTCATATTTAATTTAATAACATAGCTTCGTTTTAAAAATACGTTGCACGAAGTTGTTCCGATGATAATTAAAACTTCTAGTAAAATCATTAATAAAAACTATAAAAATTGGAGGCGTACGATGGGCAGGACAGAGTTCGAAGGGAGGAGACCAGAACTTTTTTTATTTATTTTTTTATTGCTTAGATAGACAACGTAAATGCACCACCCACCTTGAGATATAAGTTCTAAGGTCTCAGTATAGTCACAACGGCTGCCCCACCCTTCAAGCCGAAACGCATTACTGCTTCACGGCAGAAATAGGCAGGGTAGTGGTACCTACCCGTGCGGACTCATAAGAGGTCCTACCACCAGTAAATGCCAAGACAACTGCTCTATGGCAAACCAAAGGCCCGCAGAAGTCTTGGCAGGCTTAAACTCCGATGGTTAGATGGCGTAGAACTCGACCTCAAAGCTACCGGTGTCAGAAACTGGAAGGAAAAAGCTCTGAACAGAGCAGTCTGGAGAGACATACTGGACCAGGCTGAGGCCCACCCTGGGCTGTAAGGCCCACCCTGGGCTGTAAGGCCTAAAATGATGAGTAAAATTACTAGTCAAGAATATTCTAGCTTAGTGAATTCTCGAATGAGATTACTTCATAGTGTTTGTATTCAGTGGCAACTATAGCAGTGATTTTATTTATGTCTGCAATTCTAGAAATACTAACAAAGTATAGTTTCAGTTAATTTTCCATTGCACTGGGCAAGCTCGGTGGAATTATTAAAGGCTTTCCGATTTAATAGTCTCTCTACTTCGGTCGTGAGAGCATCGCAGACGGTGGAAGAGAAGATAGTAGGGATTTAATAGTAAATAATTACAATTAGTTTTATAAATTACTCGAAAAAAATCCATCTGTCGTTAGTGATTACAACATCAATTATACCTCAACTGCAATTCTATTTTATTTTATTTTAATTATTGGGTACCAAAATGTATAACATCATCAGCACAGAATATTACATACAGGTAACACGTACATTGATCTCACACTAAATACTAACTCAATTACAGGTACCGACTACATGCATTGGTAAAAAAGCGGTTTATTGTATAACTAGCCGTACTCGCCCGCTTCGCTGGGCATTTCAAATTTACATTATTATTTATTGTCCTTATTATTAGGGAGTCCAACCCTCATATAAATATTAGCCTATCCATTAAGTACATGTATTTTCTGCATGGATACAAAGTTTCAAGTCAATCGGTTACATAGTTCAGTCAGTAGTTATAACGGAACATCCGTAAAAACCACTCTAGATTTATATATTAGTTTATAGTTTATATAATAGAAAAGAAAAAAAAAATGTGTGTGTGTGCAAATCACACACGGCAGAAGTGAAACTTTTGAAAGATAAAACTATCGCAGTGCAATGGAGCAGCCGCACCCCGGGGGAACCGCCTGCAAGATCACGGTATCCTAACGTCAGGTAGATATGATTTAGAAAGAGAAATACGAGAACGTCTATCAACTGTGTAACATCTCGTCACCGCGATTCAGGAATGAATTTACGTGCAGCGACATCTGTTGATAACAAACTAAATAAAAAGAAATATGGCGCGTAACGGAAAAATGTACAGAAATTAAGATGGCGCGTAACCGAAAAACGTTACATACGTTATTTTTCTCCCTACGTCGATAAAGAAGTTTCACTTCAAAAAACTATATGTAACATTGCATGAAATTTTTACATTATTACACATATACTACCAAATACGCTATTACATAACTGAAAAAGTTCATCGAGCAAGGTAGGTAGGTCCAATAACTGTATCGCACTTAAACACCATTTCGATAGTGTGCATTTTTTTTTTTTTATTTTTTTTTTTATTGCTTAGATGGATGGACGAGCTCACAGCCCACCTGATGTTAAGTGATTACTGGAGCCCATAGACATCTACAACGTAAATGCGCCACCCACCTCGAGATATAAGTTCTAAGGTCTCAGTATAGTTACGACGGCTACCCCACCCTTCAAACCGAAACGCATTACTGCTTCACGGCGGAAATAGGCGGGGTGGTGGTACTTACCCGTGCGGACTCCCAAGAGGTCCTACCACCAGTGATTACGCAATTACACTTCTGTTACATATTAGTTTAATATGTATTAGTTTAATATGTAACAGAATCTTTGTACGTCATTTTCAACGACTTTAAGACGTTCGATGAACTTGCAAAACCCCCGCACCAAGGACCGAATACAGTGTAATCAGTTTATATCCTCGCTCAAATTTCCTGACCAGTATCAACAGGGTAGAAAAAAATCCTTAGCACGTAAGGTGTTTAAAGTATTTTTGTAGTCGTTG